AAGCAGTTTCATAGTTTGCCGGGAAAGAGTTTAGAGTAGTTGGGATGAAACCATAGCGCTTATGAAGATGCAAAGTCTGTTGCCGAATGAGATCGTCGAAAGGGGGGATGGCGAATTGCTGAAACAACGGCGAAGGAACTTACGAGGCTAAAGCAGGTTGGGAAATGGCGAATCGAAGCTGTGGATACGAGCCATGATTTCGAGACAAGGACGGAAGATGTTTCTGAAGTTCGTGCTGGCAAAAGAGTGGCGATGGGGTCGGGTGCATATCATAACAGCATATCACCTGTGGAAACGAAAACAACGTCAGATACTGCAGAATATCCATCGTCGTCGGCTCCAGAAACTGAACCCAGCGAGACTGTCCCTTCCAATCAAGATACACAGGTGCCCAGTCACGAAACAGACTCTGCTGGACCTGAACCTGAACCTGAGCCTGAGCCTGAGCGTGAACCTTTTGTGGGTGATAATGCTGGCACTGGGGATAATTTTTGGGGTGGGGTAGTCGCTCAACTCATAGAACATAAAGAAGTCCCCCGTAATTCCCCTGATCAGGCTAGCGATGGCCCATCGTCTCAGCAGCAGCCATTGATGACAATTTTATCATCGTCACCATCAACAACAACAACAACAACAACAAACCTTTCTTCCCCTCCGGAGCCATCCAGGCAATCCACAATCTCCATTCCTCCCCCCCAAACCAGCTCCTCCTTTTCAGACTCAATCTCCCAAGCCAAGAAACAATATGACAGGGCTCATTCTGTTGCCGGCGCCCATAACTCTGGAACACCAGATGAACACGTCATCGTGTCCATCGAATCCGCATACCCAGGTTGCCTTCAACACGCAAGTGAAAACCTCGAACCCCATCTCAAAGCCCCATCAGAATACGCAAGAATTCCCATCACCAACGCCATCACCATCCCCACTCCCACTCCACCACAAGATGATGGCCTCCTCTTAATCGCATCCGCAAAACTCCAATCCAGCCTGGAACTCGCCTCTGTCGCTCTATCAAAAGCAATGGCAAGCGCCACCGCCGCTGCCACGGACACGGACACAGACACCGGTACCAAAACTACCGTCCCAGGCCAACAAATAATCCTGGACGCGCGCCGGCGCTATTACGAAGCCATTGGCCTCGCCCATGACCAATATTCCATCTTTCTTAACTCTGCCTCCGACACCACCTCCACCTCCATCTCCACCTCTATTTCCAGCTCCGTAAAGCCCTCAGAAACAAGAACCCCAGCACTAACCAGTAAGCCAATTCTCGAACAAGCCAGTTCGGAGTTCAGCAGCGTTTCCTCGTTGGCATCTGCAAGCTTAGACGCAGTGTTATACTCCATCCGCTTTGTCTCGGCCAGCGTCGACCCTGTCTCTGCCAGCAGTGTTATCGCAGATGCCTCGTCAAGGTTCCAGGATGCGCTCTCCTCTGCAAGCGCGTTGCTTGCGTCGGCATCGTCGGCTGCCAGCAGTACCCCGACGAGTGCGACAAAGGATGAGTTGTAGAGCAATTTGCATGAGTGTATATTTAACGTACGTTTTGATGACATGTTGAAAACAAACCTACAAGGAGAAAAAAAAAAAAATAACAATAATAATGGCATGCACTGGGAAGAAAGATCGGAACAGTACTTGTTCGTGCTAAAAAGAGCATCAGGGCATGGAAATAGCGAAAAGAAGAAAAAAGGGAACGAAGTTCAGTTTGTATACCAATATTATTATTATATTCCCCCTGTCCACCCTCCAGCAACCCCCCGATTGTATGTATGTATACATATTTCCTTTTCGCTTTCCTGTTGGCTTGATATAATTGCCGAAGGGCTCAGTATTACGATCATGTGTATACGTTACATTCGTCTCTAGTATATTTATATGACTGATATACATGTCCTACCATATCTAACAGCGATTCAAGTTAAACTTGTTTTCTAGTCATTGCTCTAAAATCCCAAGTTAGCCTTCCAAGTTAGCTTTCATTTGTTCTAGTTATCGTTCTCATTGC